AATGAAATAATTTTTGAACCATATGATTCTTTCAAAGGACATCGGGTAATACATAAGTAAATATAAAATAATGTGTTAGTAGTGAACATATGCATAGTGTTGTTATTCGTATGACATTTGATATGTGTATAAAATAGTGCCTTACTGTCCCTTCGCAGCACAACGATTGGCTGGAGCTGCTGTTCGTGTTGGCTACTATGAAGATGCAAAACAAAACCTCAGATGCGGTCAACAAATAATCCCTCAGATTTCGGGTTGGTGGAGAATAAATAGGAAATGTTCAGTTCCTATTTTGGGCAGATTCGTCAGTGTACAGTTAGAGGGAGTTGATAATGGATTTCTCCATGTATGTGAGGTGCAGGTATTTGCAGATGGTAAGTAAACACAACAATGATGTATTTGTTCGGCTACAGAAGAATGTAGATATGATTATTTGGTAGTGCATATGCATATGCTAGCAGTATGTGACGTAAATTTGTTAGGCAATTCAAATATATCTGCAAAATCTTGAAAATACATCCTCTTCCTACATATTACATATGGTCTGCCGAATTTGATTTTGTCTCTACAGTTACCATGCTTCATGAACTAATACGGTATTACATTACATTACCAAATGTTACTGATGGATATCCAACACGTAAATGTGTATTATTATGCAATGAATTGTTGATTTAATATTTTTTTCAGAGCTGGTGATCAATCCCGTTGAAAAAATAAAACAGCGGGCACTATTTGCATTGTTTGACAAACAAAAATTTAAACGTCTTATGTTGGATGAAGGCAAAGACAAAGTTTACAGTGGCGTGTCGCTTGAAACGTGTCTAGATAAATGTTACTTTCAGAAAACATTTGTTTGTAAATCGTTTGACTACAGGCAATATGTTCATGAGTGTACTATTTATAGCGTCGACGCCAATGACAAGAACACTAGCTTGATGGTTGACGAAAATTTCAATTATTACCAACGACTTGTACACGGAGGTATGTACACCAGTTCTCAAAATTATATTATTTGATGAAGGGCGGTGGTCGTTGCGCAGCGTCATGTTCGATGTGTGACCTATAACGATGTATACAACGTTTGTGATATAAAAAAACACAACCATTGATATTATAAAGGAGGTGAACGATCAAAATGTATGCACTTTCTTTTGTTCGTTTGTAGTTTTCATTGCATCGGGTAACTCATCTGATTGTCCATCTGGTATGTGGCAATGTGGTCCGGCGAATGTTTACATACATACAGAATATGTGATGTCATCAACGATTGCCTAGACTCATCCGATGAAGAAGATTGTATATTCAAGGAAAGTGGTGGGTATCATCCTTCTGGTAAATGACATCTCAAAAAAATATGAATATGAATATAAAGTTATATGATAGTTGTTGTTTGTACATTGAATTGATAGTTTTATTGCGTAATATCTTTCCTTTAGGGCTTTTTCTTTCCCATTTGGCAGACCCTACTAGCATTCCCTATGCTACCCTTAGCTCAGCATCTCCGTAACTCACATTTCTGTGAGTATGCCTGGGATACTTATATATGAAATACATAATCAAGGTCACAACCTGTGTGCATGGCAAACAGTTGTATTGGTATTTACTATAAGGTCCACCTGTTGGTGGTGTATATACTCATCAAATGTGGTGACTTTTAATGTATACACTGATCAACTGTTAGTCCAATGGAAAGCACTGAAGTCAGTCATGGGTGTCATTTACAACATCCTTGAAGAATCAATCCCAGAAGCAAAGAGGAAGCACTTGCTTGCTTTTGCTGTTTGGGAGATATCAACCTCCCCTTTCTTGAGGTCCAGCTGAGGATAGCATTTCTCTGCCAAACCAAGAGGACGACCAGGAAAAGTAGAGAGGGTGTTTGTGCTCAAGACATTCTAAGACTTCTTGACAGTACGAAAGGTCACTTTCTATTCAGGGCCATAGCAACAGCAGGCAGTCAAAAGACTGATCCCGTGGTGAAAATCACATCTTCTGGCATATTTGTACCAAGACAACCATTCAGCTGGAGCACATTTAGAGTGCTCCCTGGTTCTGATGGATGCCCATATGACTGCGTCTGATAGAACAGTTGTTAACATCTTGTAGGTCATCAGGCCTGTCACAACCA